TGTGAGGTGTTTTCTTACTTATTTCAGCTCTGAGGTCTTGGTTGTGGCATTTCTTTGAGGTTTAGAAGCCAGTATTCCTGTATATGGTCTTATGAATTTTATAAAGAACTAATTTCGTATATTGGGCTTCTATACTTTACTGGCGTAATTATTTTTCAGCCAACTTTTTACTTCTACTCCTTACATTTAGGCTACTTTCTACTCCTTTTTTCCCGAGTTTCTCCGAGTTTGTCTCACAATTCTTCCAAAGTAAAGCGTTGTTACAGCAGTAGTTTTATCAACAAACTAATCAGAGTCGACTATATTCTTTTTCTTATGATTCAATTATTAATAATTTGCCCTATTTACCTTAACATCAGGTTATATCACCCACAATTTTCTCAGAATATCATTCATGATTCTACCTGTTTTGATTAGTTTCTTGTTTCTACAGCACAAAGGCAAAATCATTATGTGCTGACAGACTAATGCCCCAATAATCTGTCCCCAGTATGAGGAATTCAGTTTCCAGAGGTTGTTAACCCTGGCATGTTTTGGGAATAGGAACAGTGCAGTGCATTCCAATAGACTGAGATAACAGTTCAGAGGTGATACTTTTTATAATAGGGGAATCGCATGCCATGTGGTTCACTTCTTACAAGTGGGCAAATAGGTGCAAATGGGGTTGTTGACGTCAGTGGATGTTTACAACAATTTGCTTGCTGATCGAGGCCAAGGCCAAACCTGTGCTAGAAACTTGGCAATTCAAAAAGCTAGAATTTGGGTGATAATAAAAATGGAGTCAGTGATGAGGGAATAAGAGGGCATGTAAGCCAAATGCTTTAGGCAAGGAATTGTAAGGACTTGAATTCCCACCATAGGACTAAGATAAAATAATTTGAATAATAAATAAAAAAAATCACATCATTGTTTTCTCAGAGCATCTCTAAATGCCCTCAAATGTTTGTCATGCCCCAGTTTAAACTTAAATATATTTATAGTCTGAGACTCAGCCTGAGGAAACAAACATGCATGTTTTCTTATCCAGGAATACAATATATTTTGAAGCTGTTTATAAATCCAGATCCCAAAAATATATAGACGCTTATAATTAATTATAATTCTTAATAATGAATTTATTTGAATTGAATTGATATTTAAGCACTTCAGCCATGATAAAAGATGAGTTACTTGTTAGCCACCAGAGACATATGAGCATCTCATTTATGTTAACGTTTATCCAACAACCTAGAAATATTTTCTTATAATGCATCAAAACATCAGACAAGAGAAGAAAAATGAAACGAAAATCTATCATTTTTGTTTAGTTTTGTTTTGTTTAAAAAAATCTTTAAAAATGATCACACTTCCTTTTCACGAGTATGTACTGTATACATCAGGAATGGAAAAATGTAGTTACTATTGCCTCCTTTCTGTTTTATTTTTGCTAGAATGTCATTTGTACTAATCTTGTTTTGACTCCTATATGTGGTAACGAAAACACACAAATATATGACATGACTTAATCTGCCCTCTAATGGCCGAATACACAAACACCAGACGAGACCCAGGCACATTCCTGTTTTGCTGATGTAATCACAATCCCACTTTCCATGGGAACAGCTCAGAACCATTTTTTGATTTTGCAAGACACAATGTGACATTCTGGCCTGCATGATGGCACACTCAAGACTGCAGAATAATATTTTTGATATAAGAAACTGCATCTGTAATAATCAGGTTGTATGTTAACATGTATTTGTCACTGACACATTGGATTCCCAGTTAATGGTTTTATATACAAACCAATGAATGATAAGTAATTATGACAAATGTTGACATTGGCAGAACAGACAGTTTACTGTAGGTTCTGGACTCTAATGACATCCTGTATCGAAAATGTCCTGATCTGATGTCTGTGTTATGAATGACCAGATGGTGGTAGAGTTGACCAGCAGAGTGAGTCTGACGGGCAGCAGTCCAGTGGAAGCTGTCCCTGAAACCACACTACTGTACGTTTACAACTCCATTCCTGTTTCCTAAAATTTAAATAACTTAAAAACATGTGTTGTGATAATCAAAAATTAAAATATAAGCCTATATGATGACTGAATCAACCTGAATACATTTTTTTACTCTAAAAAAGTAATTAATTATGTGAATGTGATTCTAACAATGTTTGAAAGCCCATTTCTGCCACATAAGAAAATTCTTTAATAAATCATCATTAGAACATTACAGCTCAGTTTTGACAATATCTAACTTAAGAGTTGAATGTCACAATGACTTTTAAAGTCGTATTTCTAATAAAGTCTGAATTATGAGATAAAATCATAATAATGAAAAACGTTGAAATTATGAGATAAGTATTAATAATGAAAGTCACAATTGTGAATTTTTGTCCTAATTCTGACTTTTTTACATAATAATTTAGACCGTTTGTCATAATTATGACATCTCATTATTGACGTTTTATTTCATAATTATGACTTGGTCAAAATTATGACACTGAATCATAGATTAAAAAGTCTAAATTCGGACAATCTAAGTAATAATTATAAAATAAAAAGTCATGAAATAAAGTCATGTCATAATTATGACAGAAGTTCTACATTATTATATGAAAAGTCAGAATTATGACATAAAAATTCAAAGTTATTAAACACTGACTCATTCAGGTATAAAGTCAAAATTCTGATCTGCAATGTCATAATTGTAATAAGAATTCAAAAATTATGAGTTACAAAGTCAGAATTATAAGTAACAATTATAAGTCTCAATTGAGTTGCCAAAGCCATAATTATGACAATTGTGTTGTAATTATGACATATTATATAATAATTTTGACCTTTTGTTTGACATCTCATTATTGTGATTTTTTAATTTCATAATTATTACTTTAACATTTACACTGAATCATAATTAATAGATTAAAAATGTGCATTTCTGACATACTAAGTACTAATTATGAAATAAAGTGAACATAAGTAAACAAAATGTTCATAATTATGACTTGTGTGTCACAATATCGTAAGACTTGTCATAATATATATTTTAGATTTTTTCTCATGTGACAGAATTAGGCTTCCTTACCAACTTTACTCGTATAGTTATTGTCTGGCGTGGTGTTAAGATTCTCCAGCGCTGCAAAAGTCCTGTGTAACCCGGGATTCTGCATGTTGCCTATACAGTATGTGCCATTTAAAGGCAGCTGTTTCTCATAAGTTCATGTGACTGTGAAGGGCCAGAGACCGCAGATGGGTCGTGACATTACTGACATAATAATGCGTCACAGGAATGCCTGAAAGCAGGACCTCATTAGCCAATAAAAACTCTTTCCATTCGTACCATTTGCATTTGATTCTAATGCAGTATTCAGACGGGTAAAATAAAATGAATGACAACAAATCTAATCATGTAGCCTATACATAAGTGGTTGTTTAAACTGAAATTCAGTCTCCTAAATGGTCCCAATGGACACCAGATCTCATGGTGCTATACAGTTTTCCAAATGTTATAACCTTTGTATTCGGTTTCAGGGTGTCTTGTCTAAGTGCCCTTGGAAATTATGTGCCCTCGACATAGTTTGGCATCTTCTTGCATTTAGTGCAGCTGGGTCAGGAGATATTCTTAGCAAGTCGACTCCTTGCAGTTCAACACTTGAGCTCCTTGGAGAAACTTAAGAAGGACCCTGGACCACACAAGCTATTAAATACTGAGCGCCCTGACCGTACATGGAGGGAGTTGTGTGCCCTAGATCCAGAAACAGGAGATGTTGGGTGTGAAAGTGCAAGCCTGAAATGGCTCAGGGTCTCGTATAGTGAGAGTGCAGGGGGATCCTCTGTTGTCTTTGAGAATTAGTATTATTCCCAGTATTATTCTAACTAAGAACAGCTGGGATGATTGAGATGGAGAGTTTATTTTTTCAATCTAAATATTTGCCTTAAGTTAATACTTAAAAAGTCTGTGGTTTTACAAAACACCCCAGCAAAATTGCATTTACCCATTCATGATACTAAAACAAAGCATACTTATAAACAAGCTATTATATTATATATCTTATCTTGTTATATTATATTAATACGATTGTTATTTTATATTATTCAGTGGCTCTCAACCTGGATCTACAATTATGTAACAACAATTATTTAAAATATATGCAAAAAATAGCCTGTAATTAGTAGGTAATTCAATTTCATTCCATGTTTAAAGCATGTCAGTTACATTGTATTACCGTCTTATACCAACCACCATAGTACTAGCTGAGGATTTTTATCAAGAAGCATAATTCCATATTAATACCGCTATCAGTATTTTACATCAATTGTAAGAAAATTGTTTACAAAAGCAGACTGAACTAAGAAAAAAATAACTAATGAACCACATAATTAACATGTTTTATTTTTAGGCCTTGGTATTACCATGGTATTCTCAAGGGAACTTGGAAATAAAATGGTACATGAATATGGTACGGTAATTGATTTGTAGCATTTTATATGAAAATTTACCTTGTATTACTGTACAATATCATAATAACTCAATCATAATTCATTCATTTTTCAATACATGAAAATGAGTTTAAATCTTCCTTTATGCCTTTCAGGATCTTTCATAAAATAAACCCGTACTGCAGACAAAAATGTAATATTAAATCTGTTTTATGTAGGCAATTGTTTTAAAGTTTACATGAAGCCTACAATACCATTCAAAAGTTTGTCTTTTTCGAAAGAAATTAATGCATTTGTTCAGCAAGGAGGCATTAAATTAATCAAAAGTGACAGTAAAAAACCCCAAACATTTATAATGTATACATTTCAAATAAATGCTGTTCTTTTGAACTTTCCATTCATCGTAGAAACCTAAAAGAATGGTTTTCCAACCAAATATGGAGCAGCAAAACTGTTTGCAACATTGATCATAATCAGAAATGGGTTTTATTATATTATGATGATGATTTCTGAAGGATCATGTGACAGTACTGATGCTGAAAATTCATCACAGGAATAAATTACATTTGAACATATCTTCAAATAGAAAACATTTATTTTAAATGTTAACAAAAGTACTGTATTCACTGTGTTTTTTAATCTTAAAATGCAGCCTTGATGATCATAATAGTCTTCTTTCAAAAACATTTCAAATATTACCGACCCCAAACCTTTGAACAGTAGTGAACATGCGAATGCTATTGGCTGCTCAGTAGAGGATACAAAGGCATACATGTATACACTAATATTTAACGCCATGCCATTCAACACTCGGACAATGTACAATGTGCAAAATAGTCCAGGAAAAATAATTTTTATTTGAACGGGAGGCTCACAGGATAGAACGATGTTTGGCAGAGAAAATGTAAGACATTTGGGAGAACAAAAACGATACATCTTAAGCCTCGGACTCAAACATCTTCTTCCTGCCGCCCATACCAGCCTTGTCCTCAACGTTCTTACGCCAGTCGCCGACTTGTTCTACAGACTGTGGAACATAAAAACATCAGACATGAATACAATGTGCTGAGATGAGGAGAAAGCCCAAATACATCACACTTGGAGATGTTCCAAACAAAGGAAAGAAACATGTCTGAATGTGCAACCCACCTCTTCCTTGACCTCCTTCTTGACTTGTTTCAGGTTGGCTCTCAGATCCATGGACACCTTGTGTTTGGAGCCCAGAAGAGCCCCAAGCATCTGATCGGCAGACATGCGCACTTTCTTCAACGCGGGTTTCTTGAACTTGCCAATGAGGTCGACCACCTTGAGCTTCAGATCCTCAATCTATATTATATAATAATAATAAATAACTTTGGAAAAACTTATAAATAGATGAATCACTGATCAAATGATGACACTGAGGTGTTATGGTCTTTACCTCCTTGTTTGCCTTGGAAACCTTGGCCTCCAAGTCGTATCTCTCCTCATCAATAGTGTCGATCTGTTGGTGCAGTTTCTTGCACAGTTCCTGATACATGATATATGATATTGATTATCAAACATATAACAATTATGTATGCATTCTAACAGTAGAGCATGGTGGTCATTGCTTCAGTTCACAAGTAAAGCACCTAAAAACATGTACATTGAATGCAGTGTAACTTTATATAGGGTTTAGGTTACACTGGTCTGCTTAAGACATTCTTACTAACTATAAGTAACTGCAACTTCATGTCAACTTCCAGTCATTAGAGTATTAGTAGACCCTTAGGTGTTAGGCTGACGTACTTGCAAAGTTACTTACAGTACATGTATGTATAGTCAACAGATTGTCTAAAGGGGACTATCGAAATAAAGTGTTGCCAACTTTTATATATAAACAATTATATTCATATAAAATTAAGTCATTATATTTAATACATTTGTATTAATATGGGGTCACTTATTACATATGATCTAATTATAAATGGATCATTAATAATATGTGGTCATATATATATATATATATATTATATATATACATATACTGTATATGAACCAACAATAAACATTTTTTAATAAACAATACTGAATTTCTTAGTCTAGTAAATACTAGACTAATACTAATATTACTAATACTAATACATATATTTGCTAAAATTTCAATATTTGCAATAATGCGATGTGAACTAACATGAGCACACATTTTAACTAACATTAGCAAAGTGTTAATGAATGGTATAAAAAATAGTTTGAAAAAAAATGTTAATGCATATATATATATATATATATATATATATGAAGAGTTCAGATGCAAAAGCCTCTAAATGCCATTTGAAATTTTCTTCTTTAATGATGATTTTTATCAAACTTGTACATTTAAGTTCAGTAATTTTACTTGAATAACAATTAATAGGTAATTATCATTGCAATTTAAGTGAAATCACTGAACTTAAATATACAAGCTTGATAAAAATGATCATTCTAGAAGAAAATTTTAAAAAGCACTTAGAGGCTTTTGCATCTGAACTCTTCATATATATATACAGTGATATTATTATATAATCATACATAGATCATATAAAATCAATTGACCACATATTAATATACATTTAATATACTATTTTTATATTAATACAATTGTTTATATATACAAGTTGGTAACACTTTATTTTGATGGTCCAGATATTCTGTTGACTATAATAAAAGTCTAATAACTAATAGAAATAACTAATAAATTAAGAGTTAGTTAAAGTTATTTATAATGTAAAATTGCAATATATATGATATATAATTACAAAAGTAATACAAAATACTAATAGTTATATTGCAAAAACAGCTATAGTATTGATATGATGATATAAATTAATGCTTAAATATTGTATAACAATATTCATAAACTGTAAAGAAAAAAGTTGCTGCAGTATTTTTTTTACTACAATCTAAAATCAACTTGCGTGTTTAAGTCATTTCAACGTAAATTACATTAAATTGACTTAGTTGAAGCTTGAATAACTTATATAAAAAAAGTTGAAAATCGCTTAACTTATTTTGATGAGTTAAAGCAATGCAAAAATAAATTATTGATCATATAATTTTTACAGGTGAAACGAGCAATAAGGGGGTCACCTGCAGCTCTTGCTGGGATCCAGGCAGATCCAGAGCAGGGCAGTGTTCACTCATGTAGTTCTCCTTATCAATAACCGCCTGCTTGGCTTCCGCTTCCAGCAGATTGAAGGCGATGGAGAGCACCAGGCTCTAAGGGGTTAGAGGAAGAGAAATCAACAATACGCTTTACAAAACATTAAAAAAAAAATAATAATAATTAAATGACTGTAAAATTGGCTAACCTTCAAATGATGCCTGCGGCTGGAGGTCATCTTTTTTCTGTTTATGAAAACAAGTTCACCATGAGTATCAAACAGAGCTGTACTTACTCAGAGCGCTAGGGATTCTATTATAAACTATTCTATTCAAAATAAACTTAGCTTCATTTTAAATTACACATAGTAGTCTTTACACTATGTAAAATGTTATTCTAAACTGATAAAGAACCCACAGCAATTAAGATTAGAATACTTACTCTGACATCTTGGTGGTTTAGTGTGTTTTCACCCTGGATTGGATAGAAATTACTCATTAGATATTGGCAGTTTAGTTAATTGGCTAATCCAAGACAAGCACCTCAATGCGGTTTTAAACTGGTAAAGTTTGGTAAGAAATGAAATTCAATCAGGGAGACTGAGTCTGTAAGTTTAGCTCAACATACTGAGATGCTTGAGACACATTTGACACGACTTCAAAAGGTCATAAACATACCAGCGATCAGCTGCTGTATTCAGGCTATAAGACAAATGTGATTAAAGATTATACTGTTAAAAACGTTACTACCTTAAATTAAATACAATCAACTTGCATGTTTAAGTCATTTCAACTTAAATTACATTAAACTGACTTAAAAAGTTGAATTAGAGTTCAACTCCAACTCTAATCTTGTATGACATTTAAAAAAGTTGAAAATTGCTGACCTTTTTTTGAAGAGTAAAGATGTTATAATGTATTAATCAATCATTTTAATGATAAAAATAATATAAAGATATATTTTATCAATAACAACTACAGTCAAACCCGTGATTTAAACACAATAAACTGTCGTATCAATTAGAGCATATTAAAATAGAACATTTAATTGAATAATGGAAATAAATAAATTAATGGTATTGCTGTTAACTATGGTTTCCTTGCAATACCTACATTTCAAATTCATATAAATTCTCTATTTTATTATTAATAAAGATAATGTATACTTATATACATAAATTATCAGGTAATTCATAACTACATTTAAAAGCACACTCATGAATATTAAAAGTCTACTGTATATGTGTCTGGACATATGGATGTAAAAATCAAGCACTTAGAGCACAGTATGTCTCTAAACAACATGGAAAGATTCATCAGTAACGTAATTGTTTTAGTAGATAAATATTATCTAAATCTATGCACAAATGTTTGCTTTCAAAGATGTGCCTTTGTCTTTTACGTACAGATCTACAGAGAGTTCTGGAATGACGCTCACCTAATGAGAAGAAGAGGAACACTTGGAGGAAGAACTGGAAAGACTGGTGAGCCTCAGAGAGAGAAAAGTTAAATAGGATATATATGTTGTAGTCTGATGGGTCAGCATATCTTGGGAGTCCTGTTTATGGAAGTGGGTTCCAGCCTAGACCAATAAGCCGCTGAGCTCCTGAAATATCCTGAGCCCATCCTCGGCATGACAAAATTTCCCTTCCTTCAAGACGCAGATGTGTGTGTGTGCTGTAAAACGGAAGCAATGCTTAATTCACCCAGATGCATAACACATCTGACAGAACAAATCATCAAAAAATATCAAAATAATGAGAGATATTTCAGAAAAAAAAAAAAAAGGAAGAAGTATTTTAAATTACTCACCATACAGCAAAATAGATTGAAATACCACCCATATTTCTTCTGGAAGTTGTGTACCGACCAAATTAAATTTCATTAAATTAAAATTTAATTTAATTGAAGGAATACATATAGAGCAATGAAACTAATGACAAAATACAGCATACAGTAGCACTATAGTATTCATTCATTACAGTCAAAACAGAGTGTAAGGGAGTGAAAGAACCAAAACATGCGTAATAAAACAAACACAAAAGGGATTTTCCTCAAAAGCATTCATTTAATGGTCGTGGCTCAGCGATGATACACAATTCTCTTTCAGGACATATACATACTGCATAAAACAAATGCTCATTTGTGGGACTGAAACTATGGCAAAAAAGATAAATGATTGCATAGCACTGACAATAATTAAACAAAGAAATGTCTAGGAATTTAGGCTTCGCCCTCAAACATCTTCTTCCTGCCGCCCATACCAGCCTTGTCCTCAACGTTCTTACGCCAGTCTCCGACATCTGAGGTCTGGATTATGAGAGAAGAATTGAGTGTTAAGGAATGGTAGTTCAATTGAGCATAGGCCTGTACACTGTGTACATATCAGGCCTGTCAACGCATGCAATTATTTAAAAATTCCTTATGTGGGAACACACAATTGCGTCATTAACTGAATTTACGTCATGCAATTAGTTGATCTTAGAAGTCAGGAGTTTCTCAGACTGACTCTGAGGATCTACAATGGCACAATAACCTGTAACCCTGGTAGGCGGAAATGTATATTCTAACGCTTTAAACCGGTTTTGTTTCTCTGTTTGCGATCAGATTTTAAGACATTAAGAAAGTTTTCAGTCCAATTATCCAATTAGCGAATGCATTGAAACAATCAGCGCGAATGGAAAGAAAACCAGACTGATTACATCAAAGAGACTCAGTGAATTATTCATTCCAGGGTCTGTTCAGGTTTAAAACACGAGCGTTGTCATATTATGTGATTGTTTCTCAAAAGCGTTACATCCATGTGGTTCTGTTCAGTATTGCAACTTGACATGTCTAAAACGTAAACAAGCTCTTTGCTGTTGCTTTGCATATTTATTAAAGCAGTAAATCATGAGAGCCAACACTATGTTGTTTGGGACGGTTGACATTTGTTTAAATAATAAATATTATTTTTAATCATATTTATGTGATAAGTGTTTATATTATATTATTATTATATTATAATTATTTAAATGCCCACCCATGCTACAAGCAATACACGACTTGAGGCCAGTTAGGAGGATTTACCCATGGTAAAATCACTGTAATGCACGGCCTTTCAGGGCTTATGGCATTATTATTTCTGTCAGGACCACTATCATCAAATACAATTGACAATTAGCATACAGTAAGGATTGGCAGTATGGTTCTGTTCTGGGCGAGATCACCCTGTGCATGGATAAGAGCCGGGGGAGCAGCAGTAACCCCCCTTAGGGTTAACAGTTAACAAACATGAATGTATTGCAGATATCATTAATTCGAGATTTTAAAGTACACCATAATTCGAAGAATTTATTCTGATTCAAGGCGAATCAGAATGCCATACTCCAGCTCCTCCTGACTGACTGAGGAGGAGCTGGGGATGGAGGAGGGTAATTATCTCCTGAGAAACGCGATAGCTGCTGATAATACTAAAGGAGATTATACACTCACTTAAAGGATTATTAGGAACACCACACTAATACTGTGTTTGACCCCCTTCCGCCTTCAGAACTGCCTTAATTATTCGTGGCATTGATTCAACAAGGTGTTGAAAGCATTCTTTAGAAACGTTGGTCCATATTGATAGGATAGCATCTTGCAGTTGATGGAGATTTGTGGGAGACGAAGCTCCCGTTCCACCACATCCCAAAGATGCTCTATTGGGTTGAGATCTGGTGACTGTGGGGGCCATTTTATTACAGTGAACTCATTGGCATGTTCAAGAAACCAATTTGAAATGATTGGAGCTTTGTGACATGGTGCATTATCCTGCTGGAAGTAGCCATCAGAGGATGAGTACATGGTGGCCATAAAGGGATGGACATGGTCAGAAACAATGCTCAGGTAGGCCGTGGCATTTAAACGATGCCCAATTGGCACTAAGGGGACTAAAGTGTGCCAAGAAAACATCCCCCACACCATTACACCACCACCACCACCAGCCTGCACAGTGGTAACAAGGCATGATGGATCCATGTTCTCATTCTGCTTACGCCAAATTCTGACTCTACCATCTGAATGTCTCAACAATACTCAATGCCATGCTCAAATTTGCTTAAATCACCTTTCTCTCCCAGTTTGGAGTACAGGAGATTGTCTTGACCAGTACCAGGGCGTGGCATTTAAACAATGCCCAATTGGCACTAAGGGGCCATTGAAGCAACAGCCATGTGATTGGGTGATTAGATAATTGCATTAATGAGAAATTCAACAGGTGTTCCTAATAATCCTTTAGGTGAGTGTACATGTATACAGTATACCTATATTCCTATAGGTAGACGTGGATCAGCTGAGGCGAGCTTGACTAACCTGCCAGAACTGATGCTACACTTAATTTAGATACTATAACCATTCACTCACCTCCTCTTTGACCTCCTTCTTGACTTGTTTCAGGTTGGCTCTCAGATCCAGGGACACCTTGTGTTTGGAGCCCAGAAGAGCCCCAAGCATCTGATCGGCAGACATGCGCACTTTCTTCAACGCGGGTTTCTTGAACTTGCCAATCAGGTCGACCACCTTGATCTTCAGATCTTCAATCTACACACACATTAGACTAGACTCAAAAGGGACCTCAGAGAATCCAATATATAGACTCAACAGAAACATCGCCATCATCATAATCATCGTCATCATCATCATAAGGTATGTTTGAGTATTTTGTAAAGTTACCTCTTTTTCTCCCTTGTTTACTTTGCTCTGCAAGTCATATCTCTCCTCATCAACCGTGTCGATCTGATGGTGAAGTTTCTTGCACAGTTCCTGAATGGCGACATTGAAAATGTCAAGTTCTTTTTTCTAACTATCTTTTGCATCATAATGTTTCAAGAGTATGCAATGTAACTTGTATCATCCCTAGCCGCATATACATCACTGAGACATCAGTGAAACATCTGGGCAACACTACATACTAAGAACATATTTGTTCGTTCACAATCATAAATGTCAAGAAAAAAATATTTTGAATGCCATTCTAATATCCAAAAGAGAAGATTGTAGCAAAATCTAAATAAATTCCATTGGTTTTCTTAAAGTATCGAAATAACAAGATGAGTACATCAATGTTTATATTATATTCTATAAAATGAATTGTATTATTATATTATAAAAAGCCACAAAGTTTAGCATTAATAAATAATATTAAGGGCATATTTGTTCGTTCCAGAAACCTCAAGAAAAAAAAATATTTTAAAATGCCATTCTAACATTCAAAATATTTTTGAAAAATCGAAATATATTTCATTGGTTTTCGAGATGCATCTGGTTTTCTTGAAGTATTTTCGAAGTGCCTTGTAAATACCTTGTGTGCATCAGTTGTTTTATTTTATTAATATTATAGTTTTTACTAAAATTGCAAATAACTTTAAAAAAATTTAAAATTTTAAGTTTTAGTAAATTTGTGTTTTGTCTTAGTTTTAATTATTTTTTTTAATTCAAATGTCGCCTTGACTACTACCATATAAATATTCAGTTTTAGGTAAGGATAATAACCCTGAAGATCATGAGTATAATGATATATTCATTGAATAACTGTTTTTGTAAAGAATGTACTTAAACATTCTGTCTTCTAAACAAACAAAAAGAAACATCTAAGTGATGTACATGTGCTATGAGAGACCGAAAATCATATTTTCTGTAGTTTGAAGGACTTTTAATTCATTCGGAGAATGTGGCGACAGACCTGCAAATCCGCTGTAGATGAGGGCATGGACAGAGGAGGGCAGGCTTGTGCCATGTAATTCTCCCTGTCTACAATTAATTGAGCGGCTTCTTTATCCATAAGGCCCTTTGCAATGCTAAGCACCAAACTCTGTAGGGCAAATACATCAGTTAGACCTTCATTTCATACAACACCATTATAGTGCTATAAATCAATTTTATTATATTATATAGTATCAAAAGCGTCTGTGCATTCTTTACTCTACCTTGAGATGGTGCCTGCGGCTCGATGTCATCTTTTTGCTGTGATGGATGATTAAGGAATTACAATTGAACAAAACAAGAAATTAAATCCCATTTCTTTAATATTAAATACATAAAATAAATAACAGATATATTCGTATACTCACTCAGACATTTTGTCCCCTTCTTTTCTTCACCTTCTTTTTGTACAGAGTGGGAAACAGTGCAAGAAAATTTAAAGACATTTTTAGAGAGATGAAACAAGTTTTATATATTTTACCTTTTGATATACAATATTAAATCTTTATTACGGGCTATATTTTCTGCATTATAATTTAAAACTAGCACTTGGAAATGTCTTGCGATCCAGAGGGAGGTGGGTGAATTTCCCCCTCTGATATCAGTATCTCCGTCTCCCTGCTTCTGGAACAATCTATGCATTTGCCAACAATACAATACTCTGCAGACAGCTGTATAAATCACACAGATCCTGTTTTGCTGTCTTCAGATGTCTTGCATATTTATAGGAGATACCCTCAAAGCTTATGGTGGTTCGACAGAGATATTTAAGGAACTGTTTATTTTCTTTTTCTTTCTTTCTTTCAGTGCAAATCATTTTGATTTAATTTTATAAAATTTAAGAGTTATTTCATCCAAAAATGAAAATTCTGTCACTATTTACTCACTCTCATGTTGTTCTAAACCTGTATGAGTTTCTTTCCTCTTTTGAACATAAAGGAAAATTTTGAAGAATGTTTGTTAACTAAACAGTTTCTGGTGCCCATTGCCTTCCATTGTGTTATTTTCTATACCATGGAAGTCAATGGTATAACAACCCACAATATATCTTGATAATATCTCCTTCTGTGCTCAAAACAAGAAATGGATACAGGTTTGGAACAATGTGAGGGTGAGTAAATGATGATATAATTTTCAACTATCCCTTTAATGGTATAAGGCAAGGCAAGGCAAGTTTATTTATATAGCACATTTCATACACAGTGGCAATTCAAAGTGCTTTACATGGAAGAAATTAAAGAAGTCAGAATAATTAAAACAGTTTAGAATTAAAAAAAAAAATCATAATAATAAAAATAAAATACAGTGTCGAAAATAAAATGTACAGTAACAGTCGGACAAACAGTGGCACAGTGCTCATTCAGTAAATGCAATCAATATAAATAAAAACAGTTAAGAGTAAAAATAAAATAAAGTAATAAACAATAAATCCATTAGAAATATAGTTCTGTCATCATCTGAGTGGCATTTTAGCATACATATTCCTGTTAATACGGTCATACAGTTAAAATGTCATGTTTGTGCCAAGCTCATTTTGGCAGTCCAACACGCATTGCAAGATACTCAACAAGCATATAATTCAGTATCAAGAAAATAAAATATTTATTACATGCGAATTTAGAATTAAATCATCTGTGCACAATACTCATTTAAATTAATTGAAAAAAGAACGCAAAAATAATCACTTAATAAACTAAAAATATTTGATATTCCTAGTTATTTTAGAGTTCCAAATCACTACAATCTGCTAAAAATGCCAAAATCCAAGTGAATAACTCCCCAAAAACAAGTCAAGCATCTTTGGATGAGATTAAATGGAATCAAACCATGAATAGACATTGTCCTCACCTGTGTGAGAAAGTTAAGCAGCAGCTCAGCCCTGAAAGAAGAATGTCTGAAGGAAGCAGACCACTAGCAGCAGGACACGCACTTAAGGACGGTATATAAACCTGGCATCATCATTCCGCTCCCCTCTTTATGGCAAGGCACTAACCACAGTTGGTTTGCCAGACTCTTGAAATATCCACTTCGAATGTATGCCAATCACACTGCTTAAAATAGACTAATGGAGAAAACAAATTTCCAGATGTCAGGATAATGAAACTAACATGAAGAATTAGCTCAAGGCATTTGTTGAATCTGATAAATGAATCGTTTAACATGCAGGGTGTTGGAGAATAACACTTAATTTTTGTGTTTATGTTTCTTTCCTTTTTTGGTAATAAGTTAGAAAAACGCAATTTCTTTCTTTCTTTTTGTTGAGAAGGAAAGCTCCCATTTCTGCCTTGCAATGATCAAGTTTTTTTATGTTTAATTAATAGAAACAACTAATTTATTGTGTTTTACAGAGGTGCTCCCCCCACTGCTTTGACCTAACATGATCCTCTAGGTTGCAAAGTCAGCAGTGCTTACTAATAAACATAAGATCATTTACAAATACTTACTCAGTTGTTAATAGTGTACTATTTACAGAAACTTCTAAGACTGCTTCTGTTGGTCATAGAGATGCTAATACTGTTTTAATCAATTCCAACAGGATATGATGTACATTATGTAATGTTTTATGGTCTCATTTTCATCAAATTGCAATTGTGAGTTATTTTCAGTTGAGAAAGATTCTCCACAGCCTTAGTCAGATGATTTAGATGACATAATAGCGTGTTCATTAGACTCTGCAGCTAACAAATTCAAGTTCTGACTGAAAACTACATCGGCGATTACCGACAGCCAATGAGAGAGCAAGATACAGAGCAGCGGGGAGTTCGAGGAGGAGTTATAGATCATAAATCAACATGGCATTGTTTCAGAAAAAGGCTTCTTCTCGGTCTATTTGGATGGGACCCAAGAAATTGAAGAAAAATTAGTAGAAATTTGGCAGGAGCACTCGTGTCTGTTTGACGTTTCATCTGAGCTGTACCACAACCGGGTCGAAAAAGAAAAAGTCTCACGTGAGAACTCTGGTCTTGCACGTGTGAGGTTGTTTCCTTGTCACATCTCGCGTGTGTTTGTTTTGAAACGTACGTAGTTTGCGCGCAGCGTGCTAGACAGAGTTGTCGGCGATTCTATTGTAAAATCATGCAGTGTGAAACCTTCTGTCACCGATCCATCGTGCAGTGTGAACACAGTAGCGACTGAATGCTGGCCAAGTTTGCAGTGTGAAAAGAACAGTGACCCGACTACTTTGAAAATCGTGCAGTCTGAACTTGGCATTAATTAAATGGGTAATGTAATGAGTTGGTAGGCTATGCTTTATGCAGAAACAATTGACACATTTCACATTGGCTACAGACTACACTCTTAGAAGAAAAGGTTCTATATAGAACCTTAAAAGGTTCTATCAGCGCTACGTATTTGGAACCCCTAAAAGTTCTATACACTCTTAAAAAAGGGTTCCTCTGGGTTCTAAATAGAACCCTGGGGTTCCATACTTGGCCAATAGAACCTTTTACAAAAAAAAAATAGAACCATTTTGGAGTTCCATATATGAAGCGGGGGATGGAACCATTTCTGGTTCTAAATAGAACCATTTCTTCTAAGAGTGTAGTATCAAACTGATTACAAGAAACAGTAGTCAGTATCCTGTTTTATCAATTGCATGTTATGTACAGTTATTATTGCACAGTTATATTGTGCACGTCGTGCATGAAATATTATGCATAACACACGGTCATGTAAATCTAGTTAGGGTTTGAAGATTCAGATTACCTGCAGTTCCCACCATGACCAGCAGACGCCGCTAAATACTTCTGCAACTCTCGATCCAGCTCTCTTCCTGATTCCGTTCATCGTTAATCCCTGATAAGAAGAATCAAAGGCTATGTTACACAAAATAAAAAATAATAATAATAATAATAAGGTTTGGTTTTACAGAAGGCGCTTAGGTTAAGTCAAGATTAGGCCTTAGTTCAATTAGGACATTTAAATCTTTTTTTTAAATGTGGCTTAGAAAAAAATATAACTGATGTGCATCTTGATACAAAACAATTGCTCTGACATATTCTAAGATTCCATACTTTAAAACAGCTCAAAAATGAATTTTAGTCTGGAACTAGATTAAAGCCACAGACAAAACAGGAACAGGGAAAAATAAACCAAAACACGACTTAAACATACATCCCTGAAAATCCTGTAATAGTAACTCACATATTATGTTATATTAAAGGATGTATCGTTTAAATAAATGTGTCAAATAACATTCAACTTAATTTAATATTTACAACATAAACATCCCTAATAGGATAACAAATGTATATGATAATTAGTTAAAAACAGAGCAATTATTAACTGTCTTCTTCTGTGTCAGGATTACTCGATGCAAATTGCAATGCCAGGTCAAAAGTATGACAATGAGTACCATTGTGATAATGTGAGTAAATATGTAGCAAAGTCCTTTACATTTGAACAATGCTAATACCCCAGATTTAAGCCATAGCATCATTGTCTAAAGCACCAAGATCCCATGGGGTTGATTGTAGACACACCAGCTGAAGTGAATGGTTCAAAATCTTAAATCAACACATTATCTTTCATCGACCAAGTGTGTATCAAAATACATACTGTCGTGATTTTTCAGTAGCAGTTTTTTTTCATATTCCCAACAAGAATACAGATTATGACAAATACCAGTAAAACAAAATAAAACCAGATTATTGATTTGCCAACAAATCGATCCAAGTCTGCACAAACATTTCTTAAACGCTCTGAAAAATGATATCATGCACAAACTACGTATCTCAATTTGTGCTTATAACTGAAACAATAACAAATAAACAAGCAGGAAAAACACCTTTCAAATGCATCTCAAATTGCTTAATTTGGTTAAAATATTAAATCTGTCAATGGCAAAAATGTATACTGTGCAGTTGGTCAAGATTCACACAGATGCTATTACAACATTACCAATAAGATAATGAAATAGAGAAAGCAGCATCTCACCTATGAGCTGAGGCACACGCAGAAGAATGGAGGAAGAACTGCGTCTCTGCAGGGAGCGGGCATCATAACTACAGTATATATTGTATTCCCCCATGACCAAGGAAATCCCATCTCTCTTTTTATGGTAGTAGATCCATTCAGAGAACCAATAGAAAACACACACCTGAAACACAATATCAAATCCCTCACCTCCACCCGAACCCCTCCATATAAATAACTTCTCTTTAGATTGTACAGTTTATTTTTAATCTAACAAACTGAAGCCCACACACGAGGAACCGTTCATTAACAGTTTTCTAAGTTAATAAAAAAAATGCATTTGCTAAAACAAAACAAAAAATATTGTATTACATATTTTATAATATTAAAAATATATATACAATATCTTATTAAACCTTCACTTTTCAAGCAACAGGAATGAAACATTTTTGGTTTCCAAATTTGCCCCAGTCTGACCGAATGAACCGAAAGGAATACAGCGATTTGATCTCGTTCTTGACTTTCTGAGCAAAGCCAGGCATGCCTTGAAAGATGGAAACACTGTTTTTTATTCCTGTTTATGGAAGTAGGTTTCAGCCTAGACCAATAAACCGCTGAGCTCCTGAAATATCAGGACAAAATGTCCCTTCCTTCAAGACGCACATGCGCGTGTGCCGTAAAACGGAAGCAATGCATAATACACCAATGCATAACGTATCTCACAGAACAAATAAAGGGTTATATATCAAAATAATGGGATATTTACTCACCAATCACCATACAGCAAAAGAGGAGATCTCCATAAATGTGAGTTGAAATGCCACCCATATTTCTTTCTTCAAGTTGTGTACCGACCAAATTAAATTTCAGTACTATAGACCATTTCACAAGATGTAAACAACACTGGTCCAGAAGCACTTCCTGTTTCAGTTTTTTAACACTACATAAAAGCTGGGATAAAATACAACCAACAGAACATTTAAAACTGAATCAAAAATTTAAACAAACATCTTTAAGATGTTTTCTTTACATGTGAAATAAAGAAAACAGTTGCTTCTGGACCAGTGTTGTTTACATCTTGTGAAATGGTCTATAGTATTCATTCATTACAGTGAAAACAAAGCACTAGTCAAAGAGTGTAAGGGAGTGAAAGAACCAAAACATGCGTAATAAAACAAACACAAAAGGGATTTTCCTCAAAAGCATTCATTTAATGGTCGTGGCTCAGCGATGATACACAATTCTCTTTCAGGACATATACATACTACATGAAACAAATGCTCATTTGAGGCACTGAAACTATGGCAAAAAAAGATAAATGATTGCATAGCACTGACAATAATTAAACAAAGAAATGTCTAGGAATTTAGGCTTCGCCCTCAAACATCTTCTTCCTGCCGCCCATACCAGCCTTGTCCTCAACGTTCTTACGCCAGTCTCCGACATCTGAGGTCTGGATTATGAGAGAAGAATTGAGTGTGAAGGAATGGTAGTTCAACTGAGCATAGGCCTGTACACTGTGTACATATCAGGCCTGTCAACGCATGCAATTATTTAAAAATTCCTTATGTGGGAACACACAATTGCATCATTAACTGAATTTACGTCATGCAATTAGTTGATCTTAGAAGTCAGGAGTTTCTCAGACTGACTCTGAGGATCTACAATGGCACAATAACCTGTAACCCTGGTAGGCGGAAATGTATATTCTAACGCTTTAAACCGGTTTTGTTTCTCTGTTTGCGATCAGATTATTTTAAGCCATTAAGAAAGTTTTCAGTCCAATTATCCAATTAGCGAATGCATTGAAACAATCAGCGCGAATGGAAAGAAAACCAGACTGATTACATCAAAGATGGCAGAGAGCCATGCGTTAGCATGATTTTTGCCATGGTTAGCGGTTGATAAGAACCAATGAGCGAATTGAGGCCAGTTAGGGAGATTTACCCATGGTAAAATCACTAATGCAATGCCTCTCGGGGCTTCATGGATTTAGATAACATCTACCCTGTACTATAAGGACAAAGGAATAGTCACAGGATCATATTTCACTCACCTCTTCTTTAACTTCCTTCTTGACTTGTTTCAGGTTGGCTCTCAGATCCAGGGACACCTTGTGTTTGGAGCCCAGAAGAGCCTGAAGCATCTGATCGGCAGACATGCGCACTTTCTTCAACGCGGGTTTCTTGAACTTGCCAATGAGGTCGACCACCTTGATCTTCAGTTCTTCAATCTACACACACATTAGACTAGACTCAAAACGGACCTCAGAGAACGTCTCGGATTTCGACTGTGACCCTGGTTCCCTATGGAGGGAACAAGATGCTGCGTCGAGACACTGTTTTAATGCCTCTGCATGATTGCATCATGAATAATCAAGGATTTTTGCCCGCAACAATCACAAAAAAAACCTCCACATTTTTCTGGACGGACTGACCTTTGGGCCACATCACCATACAGCTGATACATCACCATACATCATCCTTCGTTGGAATAATGTAGTAATGGCTGTAAAACCATAACTCCCTGCTGGGAAGAGGAACCCTATCTATAGTCTCGTTTCTGAGAAGAGTCTGTACTTCTTGCTACATAATCAGAGCCTGAGTAGGATCCAACGAGATATCCACGCTGCCAGGAAATCTGCTAAGGGGATCATTCTCTCGAACAGCCACCTCGGCGCCCTGAAAAGGCGAACCGGGAAGGAACAACCGAACTGACTGTTATACGACTCACCTCGGAGGATCGTTGGGGAAAGGATTTAGGTGTTTTACTTCCTGCTTATTATGACGTAAAAATCGTCATTTTGCCTCATAATAAGCAGGGAGTCACGTTTCATTGAAAAGTGTAGACTACAAACATTAGCTCATTATTATTCCAGGGTGTGGGACTATTACAGATCAGTGGGTGGGACTTCACTTGCAGAAACTAAATCAATATCCGCCATCTTGTTTTTGGAAGCTAAGCTAACAAGTACTGTGGAGATAGGAAGTATGACAATGACAGAAGAAACTAAACATGATATGGAAGAAGAGGATTTTGAAATTCTGCTGCTCGAATCCGATGTTCGTGGCTATCTTTACGAGCCGCAATATAGTGAAGAGCATCTGAGGCTGATGGAGGAACAGGAGGCGGCTGCCTGTCGCGGTCGAGGAGCCCGGACTGGCTCGAGCTGAGGCGGACTGCTGTGCATGTGCTCTCGCTGCGTGCTACGGCCTACAGACAAAGATAGTCCGTCTGCTGCAGAGAATTTCAACAATGGCAATTTCTCCTGGACGAAATCTCTGATTCAGACGAGCACACGGACGTTTGTGTTGTGATGTGAACCATCCCAGTTCAACTGACTGAACATTCAGGTATCATGCAGTAATACACCATATTTAGAAAGAAATACAAACGAGGAGTAATTCACTAATGAGTTTGCCAATGTAACGTTAACGGGGTTTGTAGTTGTGCGAAGAAGGCGGCGGGAATCTGCGAACATTTAAACATTTTAATAGTAAAATGAACAAATACAAAACGAAATTTTAAGCCAACAGCCCCTAATTGACGACTGATGTCCACAACATAAAATCAGGCCTGTTTCTCTCTTGATCTGACGTTTATGCTCCCGCTCCTCTGTGAGAGATACGAGACCGGTCGGTGCGTCTCTTGTCTTTTATTATCACTCACAACACCGGCCTCGCGCCGTCCTCTCGCGCCGCTTTCACGTCCCTCGTCCTGCTCGCCACAGCCAACTAACTAGAAATTTTGCGTGAAACTCTGACGGCAGCTAACAATATTGTAGACGGAAGACTGATTTCTCTGATGAATGTTTCTCTTCTCTCGCACAGTTACGGATTAGTGGGTGCGGCTTGTTGAGCTGTGCAATGTGGTGCATTGTGGGTGTTGTAGTCTTTCATACAAATGCACCCTTCGGTTATTTTCTCTTTTCTCGGTCAAGAGGGCACCAAATTCAAAAATTATATTACATTTCGACTACATATATGATCCACTTTCAATAAAGATTAATGTTGAAATGGGTTAAATGCCCCATTAAAATAATTAAAAGATCAGATGAGTACATATCCACCATGTTCAGTCACACCATTGGACTGATTTCATGCATGCTTCATGATGTAATCACGCAGAAGCGTTCTCGAAGCAGCTCAAGTTCGCAAGACTCAACAGAAACATCATCATCATAAGGTGTGTTTGAGTATTTAGTTTATAAGTTACCTCTTTTTCTCCCTTGTTTACTTTGCTCTGCAAGTCATATCTCTCCTCATCAACCTTGTCGATCTGATGGTGAAGTTTCTTGCACAGTTCCTGAATGGCGACATTGAAAGAGTCAAGCTCTCTTTTTATAACCTTTTGCATCTTTTGCATGCAGTGAAACACCTGGACAGCTCTACATACTAAGAACATATTTGTTCGTTCACAACCATAAATTTCAAGAAAAAAAATATATTGAATGCCATTCTAATTTTCAAAAGAGATGATTGTAGCAAAATCTAAATAAATTCCATTGGTTTTCTGGATGTTTACTATAGTTTTCTTAATTCATGGCGCCATCTAAATAACATGAGTACATTCAATGTTTATATTATATTACATTGTATTGTATTATATTATAATATTAAAAGCCACAGAAGTTAAGAATTAATAAACAATATTAAGAGCCTATTTGTTCGTTCACAACCATAAACGTCAAGAAAAACATATTTCAAATGGCATTCTTGTAAAATCAAAATGGATTCCATTGGTTTTCCATATGCGTCTACGGTTTTCTTCAAGTACCGACTACATCAATACGCTACACTATACTGGCGTGTAAATTTCATAAGTGCATCAGTTGTTTTATTTTAATAATATTATAGTTTTTACTAAAATAACTAAATACATTTTTATATTTTCTGGGTTTTTTGTTTTAGCAAATGTTTTTTTTTTATGTTTTAAGTTTTCGTAAATATGTTGTGTTTTCTAATTTCATATATTTTCTGTAGTTTCAAGTACTTATAATGCATTCGGTGAATGTGGCGACAGACCTGCAGTTCCGCTGTAGATGAGGGCATGGACAGAGGAGGGCAGGCTTGTGCCATGTAATTCTCCCTGTCTACAATTAATTGAGCGGC